TGGGCAAGGCATTCTTCTAATTGTCCAGCACATTCTGTTGTTCATTTCCTCCGCCTGCATGCAGACCTTCACGTCAATCAGGATTCAGATAATTCTACGACAAATGTGGGCAGATTATTAAATGGACAAAACATGTCCAGCAGATGGGAGTAAGAACCTCGTTATCAAGTACAATGTTAAAAAAAAACACCCCTGAGACACCTGATCAGCAGATCATTTAATTATGCTTACATGGATGGTCACCAAGTGTGTAAAAGGTACCCATGTTAAATTTTAAAAAAAACAAACCATAACTGGCATGTCAGAAATGCAAATGTGCTAGGAGATTAATGTAATATAATGCCTGGGTTTTGGAAAATTTAATGAAAAACAACGTAGTGATGCAAGACTTAATAACAAGATTATTTTTTTCTAATTAAATAAAGGAATGCAGGCAATAAATCTACATTCGCATTATGTCTATCACACTGAACACATTATTATTCTGCATAAAAATGTATTAATTAAAATTAAAATTTATTATTGGTTTTTTAATTCTCACTTCTCGTTATAATTTCAAAATTTGAAAAAATTAAAATACAGAATTTGTGGATCATCAGGAACTTGCAGATGACATAATTACATACCATATTGCCTCTATTAAAAATCCAAGATAAAAAGCCCACAAGATATAACCTAATTTCCAATGGCACGCTTAGTATTCTTTTTATGTCAGGCAGTTTAATCCAAGTATTGCAAATTAGCTGATTTAGAGACAGTCTTGTTCCATCAATCAAGCATAAATAGGAAGCACAGTGTCTACACCTGATGCACTTCACTGCAACACCAAACCAGATCAATTCACGTCAAAATGTTTGTGCAATAATGTTCTTGAGCATTATAATTTGGAAAACCAAGAAAGTCTGAAGTACATTGCGTTATTGTTTGCTGTTGATCAACTCTAATAAGGGAATAAGTTCTTTAAAGCCCTGTCACCCCTAACCTGAACCGTCACTCCAGCCCCACACTGTAATTCAATATGCCCCTCCGAATGATTATAAGTAACCTGAAGAGGAGTACATACAATTGAAATGGAGGAGGGGTACTGGAGGGGCAGGGTTAGGATTAGAGTTATGGGTGAGGGGACCCTAAGGAACTCTTATCCTAATAGTTTATCTTGCAAAATTAAAGATGAATTCCATTGTTGGAAATAGATAATACGAATAAATCTAACTATGAGTGTGAAAAGGGTGCCCAACACACTTAAAAGTGGGGTGTTTTTTAAACTGCTGTGAATTCTTTTGGGATACTTAAGATAAATGTCATACACATATTCAACATTTAGGAAGAATTAACACAGACTGTTCAGACGTCATTACAAGCCAAGTTCTCAAGCACATTGATGCACTAAAGAATTGAGCAATATACTTTTTGTTTTTACTTTTCATAGTGTATCATCAATTTAAAACATAAAAAAGTTTCCATGGCAACTGTATATCTACATAGTTTGCATTCATTGGTCAGTTAGCAAATGTTTAAAGACAAATTCATTATTGTTTTAGATTTTGTCATAGATTAGAGTGATAGAAAATGACTTGAGGTAACAGTTTGTGGTCCTTTATCTTAGTTATAAACACTGAATGATTGTAGCAATATTTGTTGTTCAATTCAAACGTTCTACTCATGTTATTTAGAATCTGGGTAGGAACAACCTGTTACAAGTCAAATCTGCATCTAGCTGGGAAAGGCACAGAAACCACCTGTCAGATGTTGAATCTGTCTTGCTGGGAAAGGCACAGAAACCACCTGTCACAGGTCAAATCTGCCTTGCTGGGAAAGGCACAGAAACACCTGTCAGATGTTGAATCTGTCTTGCTGAGAACAAAGGTGATTCCTGTTCCCAATTTCTGTAGTTTTTTTTTCTTACACTCCACAAAACTTACATTTCGAATGCAGTTTGAGTTTGATTTAACGACACTGATGACATCAATGAAGCGAAAAGCATTTTTTCAACTATTGTACATTACCGGTACATCCATTTCATTACAGGTGAAGCAAAAATGTGTACTTTGGAATGATACATCCTGGCAGCACATCTGTGAATGTACCAGATGGGAATCATTCAAGTCATCCTACCAGTAGATGCTGAATTTCACAGAATTACATGAAAATAGAGAAGAGCACCAAGAGAGTGTCCAACTTCCCCTGACACATGGACACAGCTGCTACCATTTCAAAAGATGACAAAACAATGATTTTTTGGGTAAAATACAATCAAGCTGTGTAATGAGATGGAAGACCTGTCCCTCTTGGTTATAAATTCATTAAATTAAACGGGTGAATTTATTTGAAAAAGGAAAAATGAGAAAATATTGGGAGCATATTATATTTTATCTAACGAAGTGCTCAGTTAATGAGATTACGTGTGTAATGTGAATCATGCTTCAATGACCGATAACAAATATTCCTAATGCAATTGTTCACAAGTGAAATACAATGTGGACTCAAACCTAGCCTGAAGTTCCAATTTAACAAGTCATTATGAATGCTATTGTCTCGGTCATATTTAAATAGTCATGGGAAAATTTATGTGTATTGTCAAAAAACAAAACACATTAACACATTAAAAATCAAAAGACAGTTAAAATCAGCCATACCGTATTTGCTCTATTAGTGGTGTATTTGTTTATGTAAATTACTATGGTCAAAATAAGTAATAATTTAGTATACTACAAATGCATTTTTTTTGTTTTAATGTGCATCTAATAGAGATTCACATCTAATGGAACAAATACGGTAGTTGTTATTTTTTTGGGTTCAGAAAAGTTCATAACGATACTATACCATTGAATTATTACTAACAGATATATATAATATGTTTGTCATATGATACTGTAGATTACTTTATTTTTCGCTGGAATTAATTTTTGCTGAAAAAACTTTTTGGGTGTTTTGTATGGAATTTATTTTCACTGATTTTTAACGAGTTGAATGCAAAATACAGGAAAAAAGGTATTTTCGCTGATTTTTAAAATAGCAAAAATTAATTCCAAGTGAAAATAAAGTATTTTACTGTAGTTAAAGTTGTTTCAAAGCATCTATGCCTGCCTAGCTATTAATTAGTCACAGTTGTCTTTTATAGAAATGTACATATAGATTATTGATTAATGCATATAGGTAGTTAATATGCATGGATTCAAACACAAAATGAAGCAGATATGAATAAAATTATGAATCAAAGCAAATTAATTTGTTTATGGATGAAAAAACCTGAAATCTAATACAAAATTTCACAATAGTTTAAGTCAGACTGTACTCAAGCATTGCCAAAGTACTTTATAATTGTATTAGATTTCCGATTTTGTCACCAATACATATTATTGTGATTTGGGAAGATTGCAAAATTTACAGAATCCTTGCTGTTTTGAAATCAAATCAGTTCAGAGTATGCATAATTCAATGAATATTATATGAATAATTTTGAACAATATTGATGAGTTTTAAAGATCTACAGCAGCTGTTGAAGCAATGTGGCAGAAAATAGGGTTCCGTGCTTAACACACAATTGTCTTTCAAAAGAGAATAAAATACATATATTTGTTCTATTAGGAGCGCTTCTCTAATCAGACAAACCATTGATTATATTTTTGTTGCTGGATTAATAAGACTCATATTTTTTACCATAGGAATATGTCTGTCATGCACATGTACTGTTTATCAATTAGTTTGCACCAAGTAACTGATATTCGAATCAATAATAAAAATTTCATGTTCTTGTGCATATTGTAACTTTAACTGATGAAGCAGGCGAGCAATAAATTTAAAACAGGTAAATGCTCCCTATTTAGTTAATGTATACTCGGGCAGAGATATGTCACAAAACGTTCCACTTTGTTAAGATGTGAACCACTGTACCACATATATCTATGGGCTCTGTGCGAGGTGCTGTTGAATGCTGGTCGAAGAGCCGGTAAAAATAGCCAAATTTGAGAAAACAACACAAACTCAGCTTCGAAGTAATCCTGAACAACTAAATTTATATATGCTGCACACGCAGGGGTAATCTTGTTACACTGTTCATGGGAGTCTCAACAACCATCTCAAAGTACTGTTTTCTGAGAGTTTTCGGCCTTTGTTTTCACCGTGATAGTTGCCAGGCGGTGAAAATGAATAGTTATATCTGCAATGAATATCATTACACTTCCCAAATGGTGATACCTGCAGTTCCCAGTCATAACAAAACATTGAAATGAAATTAAAATATAAAGTTATCACTCATCTGAGCGACAATTTGTTGCAGAAACATTGTCAACAACCACATGGATCAAATTTTGAATTACAACTAAAAGAAAATGCAAAACCGACACTAGAGGGCAGTGTTAACACTAGTCTGCAACCCCCCCCCCCCATTTCCAGGTGCATGTGGCAACCAAGGATGATTTAGTAATCATCTGAAATAATCACAATACACAAATGAAAATTAATAAATTAGTTACTAATGATAATGCTCTTGTCACACTTTCAAATTTGAAGTAAGCATAAGACATATTCTACATTGCGACACTGACTCACAATTTTACAAACTGGAACAAGAATTTGACACATACCACACTCCACAAACTCATTTTCACACAAAAATCACTGGCGTTATTTACAAATGAGCATCAGTGTTACGGTATTTGCTCTATTGAAATTCTAATAGTGCATATTTTCACTCAAAGAAACAACTCAGTCATTTACCTAAGTGAATACACTACTAATAGAGCAAATACTGTAAAATCAGTATTAGAAGCTGCATCCCTAATAGAAGCCCACCCATTCTTTTTGAAAAATTGAGAACCAAAAATTCACCATTTCTCATACGTGTTGTATTATACCATTATTGGAAAAAAGTCAAATCTTGCCACAAGAGGGTGCTGTATAGGTAGTCAAAATTACATTATTTTTTTTTTTTGTGATTGATTCTTAGAGAAATAATAGTTTATAAGAGAAATGGGGAGATGTAGATGTTTTTCACTTACCCTAATCGGACTGTGACTGAACTGAACTTTTCGGTCTTTATAAACATCCACTGGCAAACCTTCTATCTCATCTTCGTATTTAAGATATGCCAATGCATCAGCCTCCTGTAATGAATAGATGATATCACGATTAGAATAGAATAGAATAGAATAGAATAGAATAGAATAGAATAGAATAGAATAGAATAGAATAAGATGATACAAGACTGGAAGAGACAAAATGTAAACTAAGACTTAGAAGTTGACAAGACCAGTTCAGCCTAGTAGGCCTGCATAGACTATATGTAGATTAGACTGGACAAGATTAAAATCTATAACTCAAACCTGTATTTAGTTTCATTTTCACTTTTTGAAAAACTATTTAAACTAACACATATTTAACATTGATTTTTGTAATGTTTTACAATTTTTGAAAACAATTTTGAAACTGAAAAATATTTAAAAAACTTTTTTTTTTGTGTCTTTTGTTACAAGTTGTTCCATAAACATTGTTTTATTATTTCAAATTAAAAAAAAAAAGTTTCAGACATTCTATAAAGTGACTTAGGGTCAAGTAATAATTGTTTTTTCTAAACCATTTGGCTAACAACTTCTTAGCACATGACCCTGTATAGCAATAAGAAATCTATTTACCAAGAGTCAATATCAATTTTTTTTAAAAAACTTTCAAGATGTGTTTCCTGCTCTGTTCCTTAATACATTAAAGCGAGAGGGTCGTCACCTGCGAATGCGCGGGAATCGAGTCCCAAGCAGTGATAACAACACACGCTAAAAATGCAAAGGCTCATGGGTAGACGCTTGTTTGTAAACATTGACACGCTATGGCCATCTGATGTATGCGCAGGTGACGATTCCCTCGTTTTAAATATTTAGTCATGAGAAGCAGGTAACAAGCAATAAAACTGAGTCAATACCAAAGAGTTACATGTATGTTGGTCACACATACATAGTATGTAGTAATAAAAGCTATATACTCAAAGTTAAATTCTATATCCATGGGAACATTTTTTCTAAATTTAACTCGGTATATTTCTGTATTATGAGCCACGTGAGAGTAGAGAGACGCCAGTTTATTTTTATTGTTTTATATTTATTGCATTATGCATGCTTTATGGCAATTAATAATTTGATGGAGCGACAGCTCTCTTTTCCACTAAAGACATGACAACCACACACATTTAATGGAGTGATTTTATTTTTGGACAAATACGGAGGCACATATGCAAATCAAAGAAGAATGTCAGAGGATGGCAGCTTTAGTATACACATGGCACTTCCAACAAAATCACAGTGTTTACATATGTATGAAGCGTAAATTTATAAAATTAAAGTGTGACCTCATCTGTTGATAATCAGACAAAATGGCAATTCTGTGCTGCGAGTTTTACAGCTGTTTTACTACAGATACACATGTATCAATAGCACTTTATAGAGTACTAGAGTCGAGACATGCACTGAATGTATCATTACAATCTTTTATACAAATGTATGTATATTTCCAGGCTAAAAAGATTCATACTCGTACATGTACATTGCCAAAATTAGATTTCCGGTTTTTCATCCATGAAGAATTAATTTGCTTTGTTTTGTATTTTCATTCCTATCTGTTTCATTTTGAGTTTGATTCTATGCATATTAATAACCTAATTTGCATAAATCATTAATATTGTGTAAATAAATTCAGTGTGTATAGGTACGTTATAATAAAATGCTTGCATGAATCCAACTTTTGAACCTAGTTGTAGATTCCACTGTATACATATACGTAGTAGTGGCAAGTGTATTGAACGACTCGTTTAACATGCGAAGAATTCATGCATATCTGGATGACCAATCTACATAGAGAGTTTTCTCTGCATGATTTAATGGTATCTTGGGAGCAAATATCCATGTATATCTACTCTTGGGACAACACAGTATAAAATAATATTTGTACCGATCTTCGAAAAAACAGCATGGCTGGTGACATGATTTGTAAACGTTAGTGATGAATAACACTACAAACATCTCTACTTGCGAAATAGTTTTCCACGGTTACTTCAAAAGCTATTCAAGTCTGATTTCACAACTTATGGATCAAAAGCAGATCACGCTTGACTGCTTTTCCTCAATAACCTAAGTAGTCTATAATATTTCTACCCCAGTGCTCCTTATACATGTAAAGGAATATCATGCTACTTAGTTTGGCGGTAGTTATCCACATACTCAATTATTACAGCTGATTACTTCTTACTTCACTGCAAAGGTGCGAAAAACCTAAATAACTTTTGCATTATTGATTGATTCAGAAATATTCTTGGATGAGAAGTTCACAAAGAACTGTATTTGATAATTGAGTACGTGCACAAGGACGAAATTTCATAAAAGTCAGCGTGACTTGTAAAATACATAAATTCTATTTAAATTAAGAAAGGAAAGAAAATATGCAAAGGTGCAAAAAATCTGAATAACTTTTGCATTATTAATTGATCAGAAATATTCTTGGATGAGAAGTTCACAAAAAACTGTGTTTAAAATATATAAATTCTATTTAAATTAATAAAGAAAAATATGGTTGATCAGATCAGAAGAGCCAGCTCAACAATCACCTGATGGTACTACTGAAACTCTCCTGTTGGAAGAAATTGTTTCGGTGCATGTGATTCAGTGTTATTGGTCATCAATAGAGGGCGCTAGTCACGTTTTGAGTCTGTGAAAAGCAATTCCCCACCGAATGAACACAAATCAGATGAGACGAGGATGTGATTAGGAGTATTCCATTATGCAGACTAGTGGCAAACAAACCAGCAAATTGGAGAGGGTTAGAGGTTAGATTATGTGATGAATTAGGTAATGGAAGCCATGCAGCAGTATTGTCTAAAATGTGTTTTCAGTTTGACTATGCGTCTCCTGCTAACTGAGATTCCACTGAATGTTTTATGTAACACTGATTGGTAATCACAGTATGAGGTTCACTTCCTGTAGTCACACAGACTCGCTCGCGGTATCCATTGAATGCTGACATCCCCTATATATGAAAGCTGTCATCATCACTTTAGTTGGAGCCCAGATTCACAAATTTCTTTCCAATCAAATTAACTCATATTTGACGGGGTCTTCACTTGGTTTCTGATTCCAAACATAATACAATACATTGGCTAACACATTCACCTTCATACTATAGATGGCCAATATTAATGTGTCTCAAATTTTACTTCATTTTAATGTCATATTTGAATATTCAATCATTTTATGTAAATTTGGGTTTCATTGCAGAGATAGGTGGGATATAAGTATAAGGTTTATCAAATGTTACGATAGCAGTGCGTGGAAAACGACATGGATCACGATTACTAAAGACAGCAATCCGAGTACAAATCAAAGCAGGGATTTGCTCCAAGAGTATCTCCATGTACACGAGTGTATAATTCCTAAGGGAAACACATACAGTGCAGCAAAGCAGTGTTAGGACTCGGCAACACGCGCTTACTTGTACCAAGTACATGAAATCAACAATACTGTGTTATTTTGGAAGATATAGGGAATGAAACTACGGTTTTCTAAGGGTACCAAATTTCAATGGCATCCTTAGACTGACTGAAATTGAGAATTGATGAAGGTGACTGGAAACCGGGTACACCAGGTGGACTGAATTATGTATCGTAATGAAGTAATAAATCAGTGCCCTCAATAGTGATAGGGATCGGCCAATAAAATACATAAATCAGGGATAGACCAACCAAAGTTTTGAGGACCACAGTCAGATATGTTTCTTATATTATGTAAACTAATTTATTGCTGCAAGAGAAACCACAAACAATTTTGTAGCCGTGAACTTTACATGCAGGCTGAATGCCACTTTTAAGTAGAAGCCTTAGTCATAATGTGCGAGAAAGTTGGTCATAAATTGCATGACAATGTTCATTGGTTCATTAAGAAAAATCATGGAGCTACATTTATAATTGTCTTATGGCACCATAGCATTCATTCGTGTGTTACAATGACGTATTTTGGGAAACTTATCCTATTATTTTTTTTTTTAAATCACCATTTTCCATAGAACACAATGTCAAAGAGAAATTGTAATTTTTGACACTTTTCAGAAACCCAGATTGGAAACAAAATGGCAATCATCAATAGAATACAACCATCATTTTCCCGAAAATTAGGCTGGTGAGCCTTAACTTTATCAAATTCGATATCCTTAAATTGCCTGGAAGTACAATTTATTGCAAAATGAACAAATTCTATGAATGGTATTTGCATTTACAAGTAGCCAGACAGGTTACAGTGGCTTTTGTGAAAAATCCTCAAGAATGAAAGAAAATCATCAAATTCCGAGCAGCTAAACAGTTTAATATACAGCACCTGTATATGCAATGGGTACCGTAAAATCTGTATTAGAAGCCGCATCCCTAATAGAAGTCACACCCATTCTTTATGAATGATTGAGAACCAAAAAATCATCATTTTTCATATGTGTAGATGCTCTAATAGAAGCCACATCCCCTCTATTGCATTGTCCATTTTAATAGAAGCCGCGGTTTCTAATACAGATTTTACAGTAATTGTCAAGATTTATCTGTGAAATCATTGAAACATTCTGTACAAGCACCAGCCTTTTTATCACCAACTCTTGACCTTTTAGAAACTGTGATTAGGTTAATCATAGCGTAAAGAGGAAAACCTAGTACTAATTATAATATTGATGAATGATATTATTGGGCAACCTCTTAGACTAAGTATAGGTACCTATCATGTGAAACAACAAAGAATACTTTTCGTCAAAAGAGATTATGTCGTCTCATGGTGTAATGACACGTTGTTGAGAAATACATATAATCTTAAACGTTTTTTTATTTTTCTGAAAAAGCTGAAACTCAAAAAAATCTTTTATAACCCGATTTAATTTCATGAAGCACAAATATATGCAAATTTTGCACATTACATAAAATCACAATTTTGTTCCACGAATATTTCACTGGAGTTGTAAAGCCAGAACTCATATCGACTCTCACAAAGATTGATTTGTCATTAAGAAAATCGTGAAAAATCTACAGTTTTATTGCTGCAGTTTCCAGTAGCATTAAAATTTGAAACAGATATTTATACAGATGCATGTGATG